TACACTGCACAGTGCCAGACCTTGGGTTCAATTCCCAGGGGTGGGGGAAAGACGGAAAAAGAAAATGAAGAAGAACGGATGGGAAATGGATGCCCCAGGTGCAGCTCGCATCACATACTTTTCCCCAGAGAGTAGCACCCAGATAGCAGACCAGGATATCACCCGTCCCCCAAAAAACCCCTTTTGCAGACACTTGCACTCATGTGCACATACACAGAGACACATATATAATTAAAAATAAAAATAAATCTTTTTTTTAAAAAAAGAGTCTCTTCCTGATCTCATCTCTACCCACCTCAAGGATGGAGCAGTCTTTGAAACCACAACTTTGTTCTCTGAAGGGGTAAGTCCATGTTAATCTACAGTACTTATAACTCAGGGGAAAATCACTCATTTATGACTAATATCCAAGCTGAGAAAACACTTTTAGATTGGTTAACCTAACTAAAGCTTTAAATTTTACCATCTTTTTACAAAAATGATTATTTTGAGGCTGGAGGTTAAGAGCACTGACTGCTCTTGCAGAAGACCCGGGTTTGGTTCCCAGCACCCATATGACAGCCAACAAGAGTCTGTAACTCCAGTTCCAGGGAATCCAACGCCCTCTTCTGACCTCTGCAGGCATTGCATGGCAAGGGTGCATTTACATGGTACACTGATACACCTAAAATGCAATAAAATAATTTTTAAAAATGTTTTTTAAAACGTACATGGAATTCCCAGCACTTAGGAGGCCGAGACAGGTGGATCACTGTGAGTTCGAGGCCAGCCTGGTGTACATAGGTGAATTCCAGACCACCAGCTGGGGCTACAGGGAGACCCTGTCTCAAAAAGACAAAAAAAAAAAAAAAAAAAAAAAAAAAAAAGTGATGTACTGGGTTATAGGCAAATACTCCACATTGTATATAAGAACTTTGAGGATCCAAGGATTTCTGTATGATGGGAAAGGGGAACTGAAACCATTCCCTCCTGGATCTGCTAGGGTTTCTGTTTCAGGAAGACTTAGTATTGTTTGTTTGTTTGTTTGGACTTTTTGAGACAGGGTCTCCTTGTAGCCCCAGCTGTCCTGGAACTCACTATGTAGACCAGGCTGGCCTGGAACTCACAAAGATTCACCTGCCTCTGCCTCCCAAGTGCTAGGATTAAAGGCGTGTGCCACTGCGCCCAGCAGTATGTTTGTTTTTTTAATCTAAACTATTAACTACAGAATATATTTTAACTACTTAGGGGTGTTCAGAACCAACCAGTAAGAAGAAAGCAAGCTATGGTTCTAATTTTTTATTTTTAAAATTTATTTGTTTATTGGAAGTATGTGCAAGGGAGTCAGTTCTCTCCTTCTACCATGTGGGTTGGGGGAATTGAACTCAGATCACCAGGTTTGGCAGCAAGTGCCTTTACTCACTGAACCATCTTGTTGGCCCTGTTTGTTTGTTTGTTTGTTTGTTTGTCTTTTTTGAGACAGGGTCTCCTTGTAGCCCCAGCTGTCCTGGAACTCACTATGTAGACCAGGCTGGCCTCGAACTCACAAAGATCCGCCTGCCTCTGCCTCCCAAGTGCTGGGATTAAAGGCATGTGCCACCACACCCAGCTTGCCCTGTTTTTATTTTACCTAAAAAAACAAACAAACAAAAAACTAAATTCTTTAAGAAAACCTGACCATATTTTTAAAAGTATATACATAAAAAAAAGAATTAAATGAAAACACACAAAGTATATACATAAAGATGAGATTATTACTAACATTTGCATATTGATGAAAAACATAAGTTGGAGTGAAACTAAACAGTGGAGAGCTGGCCTGTGGTGTGTTAGAGGCTCTGACTAGAACCCCAGCAGGACAAGAAGAGAAACCAAAGCAAAAACAGCTTTGGGCGGCCGCTCTAATGAATTAATCTCATCTTGTGTGTCTTTTGGCTTGTGTTTTGTTTGTTTTGAGGGGTTTGTAGTGCTGTAATTGTTCTTGGACACCCAGAGTGTCCATGAACTGAGACTTGGAGTGTGGCTGGGAAGTCAGGTGTAATCATTCCTCAGGGTCCATGGGGGACTGTTTCCAAGATTCCCCAAAGCTACCAAAATCTGTGGACACTCACATCCCATGCGTAACATAGCATTGTATCTGTACATAACCTCTACACATCCTCCCATATATTTAAAATAATTTCTAAAATACCTGTAATACCTAACAATATAAATGCTATGTAAATAGCAATTGCACTCTATTATTCACAAAAGAGTAAGAAGTCTGTACATGTTTAAAAAATAACAAGAAAAGCTGGGTGTGGTGGCATAAACCTTTAATCCCAGCTCTCAGGAGGCAGAGGCAGGTAGATCTCTGTGAGTTTAAGGCCAGCCTGGTCTACATAGTGAGTTCTAGGCCAGTTGGGGTTACAAGGAGACCCTATCTCAAAAAGAGCAAAAAAATAAAGAAAAAAGAAAAAGAAAAAGTCTGTAAGACACAATTTCTTTTTTTAATATTTTATTTATTATTTTTATTTTATGTGTATGAATGTATTGCCTGCATGCATGTAAGTGCACTGGTGTTATGAAATGCCCACAGAGGTCAGAAGAGGGCGTCAGATCCCCTGGAACTGGAGTTATGGATGGTTGTTAGCCACCATGTGGGTCCTAGGAATTCAACTCTGGTCCTCTGCAAGAGCAGCCAGTGCTCTTAACTGTTGAGCCATCTCGCCAGCCCCCACAATTTCTTTTTTATATTTTATTTATTTATTTATTTATTCATTTAATTTTTATTTTTTTGGTCTTTTTGAGACAGGATCTCTCTGTAGCTCCAGCTGTCCTGGAACTCACTGTATAGACCAGGCTGGACTTGAACTCACAGAGATCCACCTGCCTCTGCCTCCCTAGTGCTAGGATTAAAGGCATGTACCACCATGCCCAGCTCTTTATTTATTATTTTTATTTTATGTGTATGAATGTATTGCCTGCATGCATGTAAGTGCACTGGTGTTATGAAATGCCCACAGAGGTCAGAAGAGGGCGTCAGATCCCCTGGAACTGGAGTTATGGATGGTTGTTAGCCACCATGTGGGTCCTAGGAATTCAACTCTGGTCCTCTGCCAGAGCAGCCAGTGCTCTTAAATGCTGAGCCATTTCTCCAGCCCCTGGACACAATTTCTTTTAAAATTTATGTATTTTAAATTATGTGGTGTGTGTGTGTGTGTGTGTGTGTGTGTGTGTGTGTACTCATGAGTTCAGGTGTCTATGGAGTCCAGAGGTTTCAGGTTCCCTGAAGCTGTGGTTATAGGAGGTTGGGTGCTGGGAGCTGAACCCAGTCCTCTGGAAGAGTAGTGCACACTCTTAACTACTGAGTCACCTCTCCAGCCCTCAGACACAATTTCTTTCTGAATATTTTGTATCTCAGGTTGCTTAAATCCGGAGCTGTGGAACTGCAAAATTGGACGACAGTATGTATGCTGGAGCGTGCTCGAGGCTTCCAGAACTTCTGTTCCAGTAATCACAAGGTGAAAAGAAAAGTGAACAGCCAGCACAGGCTGTACTACCAGGGAAGCTCAGCTACCAGCTGCCCCGGAACAAGGAAGCACTGTCATTGCGGGCTCCAGGCTTTCACAAGTGCAAATGGGTGTCAAACATGCCAGGGCCGTGAGTAGCAGGGTCTAGCCTGGGTAGGACATTTTAAACAATTGTTCCCTATAGCCTCGGGTCTTAATTAAAAAGTTCTCACACCAGGCAAGGTAGTGCATGCCTGCCTGTAATCCCAGCACTTGGGAGGCTAAGGCGGGAGGATCAGGAGTTCGAGGCCAGTCTGGACTACATAGGGAATCCAAATCCAGCTCTCCAGGAAGATGAAGGGTCAAAACCACCAAATCTGTTATTTCCTGGACATCAAGGCAGCTTATCCATAAGCTTTATCTAATGTTTACTGTGTGTGAGACACAGCTGTGGACAGTTAGGACAGGCACAGCAGGCAGGGCTCCTAAACCAGAGGGGTGGGGGCTCAGGATATCTTCTGTGGGCAAAGGTCACCCCTGGAAGAGACAGGGAGGGAGAACTGCAAAGCTGCTTCTGTGATCTGTGGTC